TCCTTCAGTGGACCCTCCTCCACACCAAAACAGAGCCATGGCCTCTCCAATTTCACCACACAACAGAAAAGGAATGGAGGGAGGTTAAAGTTGGAAGCGCTGGTCATAAATGATTGCAGTTAAAATAGTTTGCTTTGCAAATTTTACCAAATGTGTGATCATGTGTACACACTGCCTCCAGCTTCTCCTCCAACCTACAGCTGAACTCCAGAAGGAAGGGCCCTGAAGCTTTGTGTTGCCTCTGATGAAATAATTTACTCTTTCTCTGGAAGAACAAATGTGGGGTTTTTTTTTTGTTTTTCTTAATAACAAATATCAGATATTTGTCAATAATTGTGATTATAAATATCTATTAAAGGAATTTTAAGACACAGGAAGTCCCATTGGTATTTGACAATAATTGAATTCAGTGAAATATATTTTTTAAATGGTGTTTAGAGCAAATTTTGTTCATAAAATTATAAAACTATTAGTACCAATTTTCTAAAAAACAAAAATCACAAAACCTTCTGCATCTAAACCAGAAACAAAATGTGGAATTATTTTTTTTTAAGATGGCCACATATTTCAGCAGCTGAAAAACAAGATAATAGTTGAGTAGCCCATGCTCACTTAGCCACTGGTGGAAAGAGTGTGGAAAGAGCCTATGAAAATAAATAAGGAAATAATTCTAAAATTTAGTTTTGATGGAATTTTCTCTTGTGCTGACTCTCAAAAACATATAGATTGCAATCTCATAATACATTATAGGTAAAAAATACAAACAGCTTTCCTTATTGTATTAGTGAGGATAGCATAGTTCTCCATTAGACAAAATATTAAATCAAGATGTTCTATGTACTATTAATATAAGAAAAATTTTCTGTATTTTTAAAAATCAAGTTTCATTCATTTGAATTATCTTTAATGAAAGATACCCATTCTTTGTACCCATACTGACTAAAAAGATAAACAAACTTTCAATCCAATTGTCAGCTCTTAAGAAATCCAGTCTATAATACAGCATACTGATGAAAACAGCTAAATTTCCCCCAAGATTTAAAATCATTCTCAAACTATTCATTACGAGTATAAAGGAAAAATTGGTCTTAGATTTGGGAATCAAATTCCAGTTGAAACTCTGGAGATAAATGGCCCAATCTCTGAAGTGGGTTAAACGACCTGCTTATTTTCATGTCTTTCCATTTCATTTCTTTTCTTCCTTCCTCCTTCTTTTCGTTCTTGAAACCAGAGGAACTGGGTAGCCTTGCCACAAAAACCATTAGCAAATGAAATGTAAATTATAAAAAGTGTTTCAAGATATCAAGTTTGTGAAAGAGGGTGGGAATAGAATGAAACATTTTGGAAAGTTGCTGAGGAACAGCAAAGCTAAAACCAAAGCAGAAACCCCCAAAAGTTAGCAGAAACGACATTAATGCACAAAACCAATTATAGTCAAATCAAAGTCAACAGGGAGCATTCAAACTCATTCCAGTACCTATACCCACAGATCAAATTTTGACCTGTCAAATCTAGTTTCCTGTTTCACTTCTCTGGTAACCTAAATAGACAAAATGCTTCTTTGTCATAGTGTTGCTACCTCAGACACATCCGCATTTCCATTGGTAACAGAATAAAACCATCCATATCCTCCACACATATAAGAAGCACACACATACACACACATTTTGATGAGTGTCTAGCAAGTTGCAGATCTGCCAGAAGCTCAAATAAAGTATATAACAGAACTGAAACTTACTACCAAACAAAATATTTTAACAAAGCCTAGTGGAAAAATGACTTATAAATGTTACTGCCTAAAACAAGAGGCAGTATGGCACAGTATGGTCTATAATCCAAATCTAGCTCACCACCTGTGAAATGAGCATGATTTAATGAATGAACATTTATAATCAATTAAATGATTGAGAACATTAACTTTGAATTCCAATTATGAAACGTCTCCCCCTCAAAATAATTCAATTTTTTTCTCATTATTAGATTTCCATTATTAAAAAATTCCTCAATTATTATTACATATTTGACTATGTCAATAAATTTTGTGGAAGTTGTTTTCTCTCTTAAATTACTTACATGATAACCTCAATTTTGCCTCCTTGCCTCCAAAACCTAAAATATTTACTACCTAGTATTTACCAGAAAAATATTTGCTAAAACCTGGTTTAAAACAATCTGATCAACAAAACTGTTTTAGCCCCACTTATTTCTAACTTTTATAATATATGTATGTATGTATGTTTATATGCATACATTTAGAGCATATAACATATCTATTCAGACAAAAGATCTACAACTACCTCCTAATGCTTCCTAAATCACTACCAGGAAAAGGCTATAATAACTACACCCTGAAAATAGATTCTGATGCAGAGCTAACAATAATGGATGGCATTTATCTCACCTCAGATTAAAACAGAAAGTAGGTACTAATTTTACCAAATAATTTAGTTTGAAAAAATTAAAATTATAATACCCAGTGCTAGTGGGGGCATAAACAAGAAAACCCATTTCCACATTAACTGTAGCAGTGTTAAATGGCACAATCTATCTGAAAAGCAATTTGGTAGTAGATAACAAAATCCATTAAAAACACTTTGATACAGGTAAACACGCCTTTCGTAAATCCAAAAATATGAAACATACACACACAGAAAGATTTTCAATAGAGTGTTATTTATTACAGTAACCTGCCCCCACCATTCACGAAGTATTAGAAGAAAACTTGGTGCTGCCTTTCCTTCATACCAACAGTCAATAATTCCTCCTCTTTTGCTTCTTCATCTCTGTCTTGGTTTCAGAACCTGCCATTCATTTCTCATCTTGGGGTGGGATCTACAAAGTGAGGCCTAAGCTTATATGATTTGAAAATGACAAAAAAGGTAAAAACTGTGAATACAAACTCTGCCTCACCAATGCCATCCAACGTCAAGAGAAATTTACGAGAAGCGTAACACAGAGTAGTAATAGAGAAAGAAAATATGACTAAATGAACTTAAAAACACATTTATTACAAATTTCATAAAAATATGATCATGAGAACATATTTTAGAGTTCCTACCCATGAGAGAGGCCCATGCAAGCCAAGAGTTTTTAATTTAAGCTTTATTTCAGCTTCTTGGTGTATCTGGCTCCTCACCAAACCCTCAGTTCCTAAGGTTAGTAATTTCTAAGCCATCCATCCAATCACATTGCTGAAGATTAATTTTTCTAAAATGAAATTCTAAACACATTCCTTCACTACTTGAAAAACTTTCTTGCCAATAGTATAATTGGCACAAATCCCTCCATGAGATCACCTCCACCTACATCTCCAACCTCATTTCTCTGTTGTTCCAGACATGCTGCATTATTTACAGTTCCTGGTAATGTTATTTCAATCCTCCCATACCTTAGCAGATGCTCTTACCTCTAACAAAAATATATTTTCTTCTCTTTTCCAGCTAACACACTTCTACTCCCGTTTTTTCTATCCCAGCTTCCCTCTTAAAGCCTTCCCAGACTTGACAATAGAGTTGAGAGCAAGCTCATTGGCTAACTCCCCTCTACACTGCACTTACCACCTGTGATCAGGGCTTATTCACTGTGTGTTTCCCCTGATAAATTAAAACTCATTCAGGGCTGAGACCTTGTCCTACCCATCTTTCCCCAGGTGTCTGCATTAAGTACTTGGTAATCCTCAATTGAACAAATGAATGAAAATGAAGGAGAATGAAGTATGCCAAAAGGTTATTTTTGTTCCTTTGGCTTATTGATTTTTTTAGCAATTTTTTACCCTTATTTTAAAATACTTTTGCTATGTGGTTCTATTTGTTTTATACTGGGAAGTCTAATTGATAACAAAATATTTCTTTGAGGCTTACTCTAATTTTTATTATATCTGCTATCTTAATTCTCTTAAAACTCTGCACACCTGTGCCAGGCTTATTTATATGGCCAACAGTGTACTTTACGTGAAATCATATTTAGATCCCTGTACACAATTAGCTAAATAAATATCATTAGTGCAGCTTCATTAAAGTGTATTTTTCTTAAATATTTCTTGGTACACATATTTCTCAGTAAGTGAGCATCTATTAGAGTTTTGGCAAGAAAAACCTTATAATAGACTTATTTCTGTAGGTATATATTTCAAGCACTGACTGGAAGGAATAATAATTTTTTGCCATCTGGAATAAAACAGTGATGAATACTACAAGACTCAAATTATGTTCAGATGCATGAAGCCACATTTCCAAATCACTATTATAATTCCTATCCCCCACCTAGGATGCACTAAAGAATTGTTTTTAAAAGGAAAATATTCAAAATAATCTGATAATTCCCCTAAATATAATCCTCATTGAAGCTGGACATTTCATCCTTTTTTAGTAAAGTTATCATTATCATTATCCAGCAAGTGCCTGCAGAGACTTTATAGCAAGCATTTTACCCTTTTTCTTTTGTATGATTTAAATATGTTGTTTTATTACACGTTGTTTAAATACGCTCTATGTGAAGCAGCCCACATACACACAGCTTATTTAGATATGAATACAGGTTAAAAGCACCAAAATGAAAACCACAGGCCATAAGAATCATATCCCCAAATAACAGTTGATATCCTTTTAGTAGCTTCAGAGCCATTTGAATCCTGGTATCACCTAAACACTAGTTCAGGTATAAATTCATTTTCTACCTTATGGTATAATGGCTTCATATTGGACCTCTCCACAAACATGTTCCTGTTTCTCCTTTGTGTAAGGCATGTTATTCTGAGTTCATGTGATGATACACCTTATTGTTAAATATGAGCTTTATTCCTGGATAGATCCATGTTGGGCTCTGTGCTGACAGCTCAAAGCCTAGAGCCTGCTTTGGTTTCTGTGTCTCCCTCTCTCTATGCCCCTCCCCTGCTTGTGCTCTGCCTGTGTCTCTCAAAAATGAAAAAAACATTTTAAAAAAAATTTTTAAAAGAAGAAAGTTACATGTCTTGCACATTTATCGGGTACAGAGAGACATACCTGCCACATTAGGGTAAGCTTGTCCAAGACTTCTAAGAATCCTCTTGAAATGTGTCTTTACACTGCAGACTGATTAAAAAGCCTAGAAAAGAATTAGAGCTAAGTCATTTGGAGGAAGATTCACTGTGTAGGGGGGCCAACTCTCAAATCTTAGCTGTTGGGGAAATACCAGTGGATTGTGATAAGCTGAGCAAGACAGAATACAGAACATTTACTACTATAGAACCCATAAATTCCATCTAGACAACAGGAGAAGGGGGAAGAAAAGGAAAAACTAGAAATCAGCTTGTTTTTTTTCAAAAATCAAATGCTCCAAATTCCATAACATATAGAAAGGTGAAGGCATAGCAAGGAATTTAAGTTTCTCATCCTATGAATGTGAATTTTTTTAAAGTACTAAATATGTTTTTACTGAGAAAAAAAGAAATCCAAATAAGGGAATAGATTGTGACAAGAATGCTACTTTAGAGAGAGTATTAAGCAGTGACCAGGATGAAGTAAGTAAACCAGAGAGAGGCGCCTTCCCAGCAGATGGACTAGCAAGTACAAAGGCTTTGTGGTGACAGCATGCTAAGCATGTCCAGGGATAGCAAAAAGGCACTGCAGCTGCAGCATGATTAGGTAAGAGAGAGAGAGAAGTAGGACATGAGTGAGCTTGGAAAGAGCAAAGGAAAGGCTTTGGATTTTAATGTAGGAGATGGTAGAGAGCTGTCATACATATATGTATGTATATATATTAGTTTGTATATACATTAGTTTTATTTGAGAGAGAGAGAGAGAGAGAGAGAGAGAGCGCACACACTCAAAAGTAAGCAAGAGGGACAGAGGGAGGAAGAGAAAGAATCTCCAGTAGGCTCCACACTCACGATATAGCCCAACCATGGGGCTCAATCCCACGACCCTGGGATCATGACCTGACTGGAAATCAAGAGTTGAGTGCTCCACTGACCAAGCTACCCAAGCACGTCAAGTTGTGTTTTTCTTGAGTTAAACAATTTAGTTTGAGATCATTAATGTTGTAAGAAACAGAGATTCCTATACTCTTTGCTTCATTTCCTCCATTGGTAACATCTTGCAGAACTATAGTACAATATCAAATCCAAGATATTGACATTGATAGAGTCAAGACAGGTATCTCCATCATCTTAAGAATCCCTAGGGCACCAAGGTGACTCAGTCAATTGAGCATCTGACTCTTGATTTCAGCTAATATGATAAGAGGGTCATAGGATCAAATCCCACATCAGCTTCCATGCTGAGGAAGGACCTTGCTTAAGATTCTCTCTCTCCCCTCTGTCCCCTACCTAGCTCGTGGTCTCTCTCTCTCTCAAAATAATAAATAAATAAATAAATACCCTCAGATTGTCTTTTTATAGCCATAACCATTTCCCTCCCATCCCAATTCCTCTATAAACAGTGAAAATAACTAATCAAATTACAATTTCTATAATTTTGTCACTTCAAAAGTATTACAAAAATGAAATCATACAGACAACAGAATTCTCTGGAGATTTGTCCAGGTTTTAGCATCAATAGTTCTCTCATTTTTATTGCTGAGTAGTCTTCTATCAAACGGATCATTTAACCATTCACCCATTGAAGGGCACCGTGCTGTTTCCAGTTTGAAGTTATTAAGAACAAAGCTGCTACAAGCATATGCATACATGTTTTTGTGTGAACAAAAGTTTTCTTTTCTCTGGGATAAATGCCCAGGAGAGCAATTGCTGGGTTGTACTGGAGTTGTCTGTTAAGTTTTCTTTAAAAATCTGCCAAACTATTTTGCAGAATGCTTGTACCATTTTACATCCCCATCAGCAATGCGTGAATAAGCCAGTTTGTATGCATCCTTGCCACCATTTCATGTTGTCATTATTTTTTATTTTAGCCATTCTGCTTTTCTCTAATGATTAGGGATGCTGAACATCTTTCATGTGCTTACTTGCTACCTGTTATATATAGTCTCCTATGAAATGTTTCTTCATGTTTTTTGTTCATTTCTGATTTTTTTTTTTTACTGTAGATTGAAAGACTATCTTCCTAATACTAGTCCTTTGTCAGATGCATAGTTTGCAAATATTTTCTCCCAGTCTTTAGCTTGTCTTTTCATTCTCATAAAAGGTCTTTCACAGAGCAAAAGTTCTTAATTTTAATAAAATCCAATTTATCAATTTTTCCTTTTATGGATTATGCTCCTAGCAGAAGCACAGTCCATAAAAGGAAAAATGCACTGCCTAACCCTAGATCCTAAATACTTTTCTTAATGTATAATTTAAAATTTCACATTCAAGTTCATGATATATTTTGAGTTAATTTTTGTATAAGCTGCCAGACTTAGGTCAGGTTCATGTTTTGGCCTATGAATGTCCAATTGGTCTAATACTATTTGTTGAAAAGGCTAGATTTTCACTGAATTGGTTTTGCACCTTAGTCAAAAATAATTAAGTATGTTTGTGTTGGTAAATTTTTGGATTCACCGTTCTGTTCCATTGATATATGGGTCTATCCTCACCACCAAGTTCATACAGCCTTGATTACTATAGCTATATAATAAATCTAGATATTGAGTGGGTTAATCCCTGGCACTTTATTTTTCTAATTCAAATTCATTATAGTTACTCTGATTTCTTTGCCTTTTCATATAATTTTTTAGGATAATTTTGTCTACACATACAAAAAAATCTTCCTGAAAATTTGGTAGGAATTATGTTAAACTCTGTCAGTTTAGGGAATTGACATCTTTGTAATAGTGAGCCTTTCAGTCCATGAACATGGTATATCTATTTTTAAATATTTCTAGATTTCAGCATGTAAGTCTTATACAGGTTTTGTTAGATTTACATCTAAGTATTTAATTTTTTTGAGTAATTTTAAGTGGTATTGCATTTTTAATTTTGGTGTCCAGTTTCATTGCTATTATAAAAGAAAATAATTGTTTCTTGTATCCCACTACTTTGGTGAAATCATTTATTAGGTTGACAAGTGTGTCTTTTTAAGCTCCTTGGGATTTTCTACATAAACAAAAGTATCACCTGAAAATAGGAAAAGTTTTATTTCTTTCTTTCTGATCTTTATGCTTCTAATTTTTTAATATCCTCCCCTGCCCCACTGGCTAGAAATTCTAATAGTATATTAAGAGTGGTGAGTAAACATACTTGACCTAGTTCCTGATCTAAGGGGAAAGAATTCAATCTGTCATCATGAAAGGGAAAGTTAGTTGTAGATTCTAATGCATCTTTTTATAGATGAGGTATATCAAATTGGAGAAGTTCCCTATTCCTATTTATCTGAGAGATTTTATCATGAATGGGTGTTAAATTTTGTCAAATGCTTTTTCTGCATGAATTGATAGAATCATGTGACATTTCTTCTTTAGCCTGATAGTTTTTCAAGTATGGAACTAGCCTTACATCCCTGAATAGACCCCAATGATCATGAAATAGATGCCATTTTATTCTATTTGCTAATGTTTTGTTAAGGATTTTTGGGTCTGTTCTGTGTTCTTCAGGGATATTTGTGTCTGGTTTCTTTTCTTTTTTTTTTTAACTGCACTTCTTGTGTTTCAGTATCTAGATAATACTACCATAAAATAAATGGTTTTCTGGAAGAGACTGGGTAGAACTGGTGTTACTTCTCTACTCTAAGTGTCTGTTAGAACTTTCTAATGAACACATCTGGGACCAGATTTTCCTTTTTGAAAGTTTTAAAATTTTGTGTGCATGTCTTTATTAATCATGGGGATACACAAAGTATCTATTTAATATTAGATGAGTTGTGGTAGTTTATGTTTTCTAAGGAATTGGTCCATTTCATCCAAGTTGTCAAATATATATGTATAGAGTTGCTTGTGGTATCCATATATTATCATTTTGATGTATGTAGGGTCTGCAGTGATACACTCTTTTTCATTCCTGATATTGGTAATTTGTGTATTTTCTCTTTATTCTTTGTCAGCCATGCAGGGGTTTCTCAATTTCATCAATTTCCAAATAATCATATTTTTTCATTGATTGTCCTTCTGCTTTCAATTTTCTTGCCATTTGTTCTTATTATTTCCCTTCTGCTTTCTTTGGGTATATGCAGCTCTTCTTTTTCTAGATTCTTGAAATGGGAGATTAGATTAGAAAAAAGGAAAAATCTCAAATGAGTAATGCATGAATCCCTCTCAGCACTTCTTTATTTGTGACCAACAAATTTTGATGTTGGATTTTTATTTTCATTTAGTTTAATGTATTTCTTATGTCCTCTGAGACTGCCTTTGTGGTCCATGGATTATTATTTATAGTTCAGAATGTTGAATTTCTAAGTGCTCAGAGATTTTTGTGTTTTTTGTTTTTTGTTTTTTGTTGTTTGTTTTTTTTTTTAATTTTAGAGAAAGAGAAAGCAGGAGTTGGGGAGAGAGAAAAGAGTGAGACAGGCAGACAGACACAGACAGATGAGACAGAGAAAGAATCTTAAGTAGACTCCACACTCAGCGCAGAGCCCAACATGGGACTTGATCCCATGACCCTGAGATCGTGACCGAAGCCTAAATCAAGATTTGGACACTCAACCAACTGAGCCACCCAGGCACTCCTCTGTTATTCATTTCTAATATGACTCCGTGGTGGTCAAAGAATATATTCCATGTGACTAATTCTTTTTCAACTTGTTAAGATTTGTTTTTGATCCAGAATATGGTTATTATTTGTATATGTTCTAGTCACACAAAAAGAATATGTATTTTGCTGCTCATTCGTGCAGTTTTGTGAGTATCAACGAGTCTATTAGTTATTGATGCTGAGATTTCTATATCCTTGTTGATTTTCTATCTAGTTTTCTATCAATTGATGAGGTAGTGGTGTTGAAATCTTCAACTACATGTGAGTTTATCTATTTCTCTTTTCAAATCTGTCAATTTTTATATCATGTATTTTACAATTCAATAATTTAGTGCATGCATATTTAGGATTGCCATGTCTTTTGATGGAACAGTTCTTTTATCATTATAACCCTCTCTTTCACTGGTAAATTTTTCTTTGCTCTTAAGTCTACTGTATCTTATACTGTAACTCCTCCATTTTTTATTAATATTTCATTATACAC